TGAATCTGTTTAGCCTTGAGCAAAGGAGACTAAGGGGGGATATGATTCAGGTCTATAAGATTCTAACGGGTCTGGATGCTGTTCAGCCAAATGACTATTTCAATATTAGTCTATTACTTTATTATAAATATTATACTATGTGCGCGCGCGTGTAAGTCAGCCTGTTTGCTTGCCTGGCGCCGCTGAGACACGTGACAGCCGGGAGCGGCAATCGAGAGCGGCAGCGCCAACACAGACAGCCGCAGTTCCTTCAGGACAGAAATTGAAACTGAAGTATCGATCTCATACGCATGCCTGTTTCGATAGACAGGCAGTAGAAGCAGAGTAGAAGGTCGCGCATGAATGCGCTCCACCCTTTGCCGTAGTTCGGGCGTGTTTTTTTTCTGTCTGATTGTTGCGTTTCAAAATCATACTGCAGAGGAAACCTCTGCTTTTCTCACACATGTCCTGGAAATTGTAGCTTTTATGGACGCTATGTCGCTGCTGTTGGAGTAAGCAGTCTCCACCGGGTCCGTGGATGAGAAGAGATTCACAGCTGACACGTGGAGAAGTTGCAGGTCACCAGTCTATTCTCTGACAGATTGCAATCCGGGAGCGGCCATCTGACATACATTCAGCATGTACAGGAAGAAGCTCAACCATATGTATCAGCTCTATCCTTTGGGCATCTCCCCCCTCTCTCGGTACCTTCCGTCTACGTGACAACCACATGTTTGACATTTGCTATAGTTAGTTGGTTAGTACTTGTTCTTCTGGAAGGCTAAAGATATGTAAGGGCTGCTGACGTTCTCTGTCTGCTCCCTCTATCTGTCCCGATTAGGTCCCCTTGCCCAGCCGGCGCGCCAGTCAGTTCTCGTTTTGATTAGTTACAGCCTTACAGAATCATTCCCTCACTACTTGATCAAAAAAAATAACGTAACTACTGGAAAGTTATTTGATTCAGAAATCAGCGACGCTACAGGCAAGCTACTAGAAAATGTAGTTAAACTAATAGCTTCGCTACATGTAGCAGCGCTACCGCCCATCACTGTCAGCATGACAGAGGATGTGCGACTCGGGAACTTCACTGAAAGCAGCTCGAATTCACATTGTGTGCGTATGACCCTGCAGCATTGTGAGGGAGGGGGCACAGGCTGCATATCATTCACTAAGACAAAACAATGATCATTATCTGTAAAAAACATTACAAACCTGCGACCTGCTATAGCGTTTCGAGTAAAGATAATTGCATGAAACATTAAATATAAGCGAAGGCTAGGCTACTCTGACCGAGTTAAAGTTTGGGTTTCTTTAATGTTACGCCTAATGGGTTAGATTAGGCTAACTAATGTTTCACATAATGTCATTAATAAAAAGAAATAATAAACAGTTTATGGAGAGGACGGAATCAGTAACAGTGTCCATAGAAACATTTCAAAGCCAAATTTGGATATCAAAATAAGTGTATTTGATATTGGCTTGTAATGTTGTATTAAAATCCAGCATATTTCTTTCATTTTTATCTTTATATATGGTTACAAATATCTTTAAATTACATGCTTCACACCCATAATAATTTGCTGCTCTATATGTTCATATTATATAGACCTAAATTCATTCAGTAAGTCATATTCATACATATTCGCACAGAAGGTCCCTATGGGCAGGTCACTCTCCCAGCTCCAGCTGCTCCCAGTGGGGTCACAATGGAAAGAGCAGCGGTGGGTGTTTTAGGTTCTGACAGGGGTAACAGGTACCTGCTCACAGGGATGGATTACTTCACCCGGTGACCAAAAGCATGCACCACCCCTGACCAGGAGGGGGAGACAGTTGCAGATACCCTGCTGGAGGGTGTGTCTAGCTGGTTTGGGGAGCCAGAGACTATGCATAGTGACCAGGGGAGGAATTCTGAGTCTGCTGTGTTTGCCTCCCTGTGCAGCCGGCTGCACATACACAAGACGGCCTGGTGGAGAGGTTTCACTGCACCCTGGAACAGCTGCCCTGGATGCAAAGTGTTCTGGTAATGGTTTGGGGATGTCGATACTCACCTGCTCCAAAAGTTTGTGTGCAGGTTATTTTGGTTGTTCATTACCAATTCACAATTACTCGTTTAATCAACCTTGTTGGCATTTCAACATATTACAGTGTCTAAAGGTATTGAGAATGAGGTACATTTTGAGTATCCTACCAGAATACAATACTGAATACAATCAGGACTGAGTATTCAGCATTCAGACACTACATGCTTATTCATAGCATTCTGCCCAAACCTGCATGACCATCAACCCTCACACCTACAGAGACGAGTAGCAATAAAAGAGACAGTGTCATAAACTCACTTTTCACTGTGAACACAGACATGTTTTTATCAATCTATCCCCCTGCTCTCCAGACCCACACATAAGTCAGACTTAATGGGTTTAGACCAATCAGGGTTCAGTCCCACACCCACAGAACCAGGAATCTAACCCTCAGTGTGAAGCTGCTACAGTACTGTCCACTGTATCACAACACCTCCAAAAACCAGCAGAGGGCGCTCACAGTCTCTCCTTCCTGCACCACTCAAGAGCTCGCCAGACCAGTTCCAGTTCCTATCAATGCAGCTGCCTATAGTTCCCTCCTTTCCCCTCTGCCTGTTTAAGCTCCAGCTCCCCAGCAGTCTTCTTTCGGACCTTGAACCCCTGGCCCATACCCCGATTTCACCCTTATTAAACCCTGTTCTCATCCTTCCTCACCTCTGGATCTCTGCCTCCTTTTCTGTCCCCCCCCCCCTCCTTAAAGTCGGTCGTGACACACTGAGCCTCCACATAGCAGAAGTTATTAAATGTATTAGAAACACCAACCTCCATTTACACACATAATAAGTATGAAAATGCAGGGAGACTCACCTAATTTAATTCTGTTGTTCATCCAGGCAAAGAGTTGGGAATAAATAGCAAGGAACAGCATGTTAAACATTCTGGAACTATCTGTAAGGGCAAACACAGCAAATCAGACACCCTCATTCTCTCATCAGTCTATACAGATATAACATGATATTAAATAACAGTGTCCTTGGGTTTTTCCTCCCCTGAGATAAATCCTGCTGTCCCCAGGGCCCGATTGCACTGTGAGGTCATGCACAGTAAGGCCCATGATCCAAGGGCAGTGGGGATCAAAACACAGGCCAAGGAGTCTAATGCACCTGTGAATCAGAGGGTCCATCAAAACCCTGTGGTGTGATGAAGGTGAGGCCCAGCACATGTCGGCTGAGGGGGATCCCGGACCATCCCACATGGCGGCCAGGTGCCCCCCCAGCCCGTACACCCTACATGTCACCCTACATCAGGTCCACACAATAACATCCTACTGGGTAAAATGTCAGGTGCACCCTACATGTGTAATCTGTCAAACACCAGAACCTGCAAACGCCACATAAAGAGCAGAGGTGGGACTCGAACCCCCAGCCCTGGAGTTAAGAAGCAGCAGTGCTGCCCACTGGGCCTGTGTGCCACATAAAATGAAACAGCTCTAAACCTCATTCTGGTCAGAATTCTTAATATGCCAATGGACATAGATGTTAATGTGAACAAATAAATCCACATAAATATACTTACACAGGAAATAACCCATGATGCCAAGAATGTCTCTAAGTCGTACTGTTCTTCCCATCCTTCGGGGGCATTTTATCCGATACACACCAAGACCAACTGAAATAAGGGAAGATTAGTGTCAATCACCAGACACAGAGTGAAAAAACAGATGTGTTCAGTGATCCTGTGTTTAAAACCCTGCACAGCACTGTCACCTGGGGGTTCTGAATTTGAATCCCATATTGGACGCTGCACTAAAAGTGTACAGCAGATTTAAATGAGTTATGAAAGGATGTTTCAGTTGGGTATTGTATCATAACACCCTAATTGTGTAGATATTAATTATGAACAGCACACTTTTAAATATCAGTCATTCCAAAGTTTAACGTTTGTGTGTTTAATTCACTACAATGTAGCAAATAAATACCTCTATACAAAGTTCTGCCCCAGTGTTCCTGATATTCCAAAGTCTAAAACAAATTTTCAGTACATACTTTACAAAACCTGAAAACATACTTACCTGGGAATAAAACCATGATGACTGGAAACATTAATAAAGTGGAAAATGTTACAAGTTGTTCTTTCCGAGCTAGAGCTGAGTATTTTGCCAGATAAACACCGACAGCAACTAAAATAAAGTAAGAGTAGAGTCAGTCACCATGAAATTCATGTCAGACAGAGTAGAAACACAAATGTGTTCACTGATCCTGCACAGGTCTATCACCTGGGGGTTCTGAGTTTAAATCCCTTATTGAACATTGGGGTATGAAAAGCACATCCCAGACTGTTTGGCTTGGACATTTAGTCATGCATCTCTAAATGTACATATTAATTGTGAAAAAAAAAATTAACAATTCATGTTGTACATTTCTGAAATCCCTGCTGCCAAAAGAAACTAAATTAACATACACATTATCCATCCATCCATCCATCATAACCTCATCTCAAGTACAGTTCCATGGTGAGACTATCCCTAAGAAGCTCAGAGCAGGGTACACCCTGGTGGGGTGCAAGTCCATGACAGGGCACATCCACTCACACACAATGGGCCATTTTTAGACCCCATTTTACCTAAATGCATTTTGTTGTGTGTGTGCAGGTTCAATTGAAATTGAAAATTTAATTGAAGAGATCATTGAAAATGAGTCACATTACCTAAGCCTGAGAGCCGTGACGGAAGAGCATTCAGCTCAGCCCTTGTATTGGAAATACGGATCTCATGGTCCTGATCCGCCACAGCAAGGCTCACTTTCTAACTGAGATAGCCGCTTTTCAAGATCAGAAATCTTCTGACGATATTCGTGAGCCAGGCTGCTCACAAAAGCAGCCTTGGCATCACAAAGGAAGCCCTTATCAGCCATCCAGCACTAGGCTGGGTCATCAGTTGAGCCCCCATTAAGAGAGATCTAAGTCTAGGGGTCAAATAAGCTATAAATTTGATTCTGACGCAAAGAAGTATTAAATCTCCATTGCAAGGCCCGAGGAGGTAGAGAGAGCACAGCCAACTGGAGGAAAGCAGATCAGATAAAGAAGAGGAAAGCAGAGAAGCATTAGAAACAGCAGGTACAAGACAGAGCGAGAAACAAAGATGTAATATATGCCAGACTGGGACTGGAAGCGAGGAGAGAATAAAGAGGATTCTCTGGTGGAAGGGTTCATTAGACAGAATGAGTCGACCAAATTGAGGTCCTCCACAAATTTACACAGGGAACGAGTGGAGGGGGGCACCTGGCTGCCCATAGGAGAGGGAGATTTATCCAGGACAGGGTCGTAGATGGCAATTCCAGTAACAAGCTCATATTCCTGGAATTTGAGGATATGGTTAGACAGATCCAGGAAGAGTGAGCCGTGAGGGAGGGTGGGAGCATCAAAACAGACCTTCCTGCCATATAACTGAACCTGCCATCAGCATCTCCTGAATTGAGAATACGAATTTGAAGGGCCCGCCTGACCAGAATGACCCCACCCCCCCACATCTCTGAGAGGAAGCTGATGAGGAGGAAACAACCCTGTGGAACCTGTAGCCACTCACTGCATCCCGCTGTAGTAAATGCAAAGTGGGGGCCGCTTAGCAGCTGAGCGAGAGGAAGGTGACACTAACAATTACAGAGCTGGTTCTGTTTGGCTGCACACAGAGACAGTAACTGTGAATATTCTTTCTTATGGCATAGAATGATACACAGCAAATGTGCCAGTGTTAAATTAACACTGCATGGTGTCTATATGGGTCCACATCATTTAATGTTACCTTTAACACTTTACAGTGTGTAGTGAGTGTCGTTTGTATAGTATTAATCTTTATTAACGCATAGTGTTCAATTTCCAACCTTTAAGTGAATGAGTCGCCACCTCTTCCCAAATTGCAAGCCCATATGGGTGGCACACAAGTACAAAATGGGTGGCCCATATCTGCCCTATTTTAATGTGTTCTCATTTGAACTCATTTGGGCATTCAGCTGCTGTGTTTTACTAACCCACCATAATAAGAAAGACTGAGAACAACATAGCCTTTTCTCTTTTTATGCAAGTTTTATTTCAGTTCCGGTCTTCATATCCAAAGATCTGTGCTCATGTAAATTGGATGACAAAAAAAATTGTTGTTATAAGTGTATTTATTTAAGCCTGAATGTGATAGTTTTTTTAAATTAGGATAAGAAAGATCCAATTAAGCTCTCCTGAGAACAGCCTGTGTTATTAAAGAGAGTGAAATGTATGACACCAGTCACCAAACACAGATTATGAAGCTAGACTGTTAGACTGTGTAACATAATTTAGCAGAGCTGAGAAAAGGTGAGAGCTATCTTAATGGTTGAAGGAGTGTATTTCTGCTAAAGCAGATATAATGTGTGGTGGCCTTATTGATTTTAGATCGCAACTTGGTGTAGAAGAACAAATCAAATCACTTTGCTTATTTAATATTCAGATTTTCATTAAGCTTAATTTTTAGAAACCCACCACGATCGAGGATGGTATGGCACTGATATTAGTCTTTACAACTTTTTTTTTTTTATGAGTTCTGGTTTGCCATTTTATGGTAGTTGGTCTGAGTAGTGTAGTTGCTATATATGGTCATCCCCAAAAAAAACCTCAGGTACGTATGGTCTGGATGTCCTTCTTAGAGAGCCTAGACTTAGAAGAGAAGCAAAATAATTGGTTTTTCACAATAACATGCCTTTTCTAGTAAAGCCATAGAGGCTAAACCATCCGGCCTAGTCATTAGCAAATACCCAAGAGCCATTTCTGCAGTATGTGTTCTCTTGTCCTATTCATTACAATCGCGGTGGATTTAAAAAAAAAGAAATCTATTAAGTCAAAGATATTACTGTGTCATGCTATGCAAATATACATCCAGCACCATTGGTCTACAGGGGAGTGGGTGGTACCAGGAACTGCACAGAAAAGGGTATCACAACTGTCCACATATGTTAGTCATCCAAGGACAGGACGGGCAATCAAATACACCCCCGAACCATTAAAATACATACCACACAGGAGACGTGTCCAAGAGTTTTACCTCTGACAACATCAATATGCTATAAAACCACCAGAACTACAGTGCTCTAACCTACACAATCAATCAGAACCAAGCAAGAAAAACTTCAAAACAAAACAAGAAAAAGTTGTAGCGTCCTTTTTGGTCAGAGTCTTTCTCATGATGGTGGGTAAATCTGGGCTGGCTCTTCTGATCCGCATGACTTGTGCGCATATTAAAATGGGGCAGATGTGTGGAGGTGGAGACTCATTGACTTACCCTATGGTGTAACACTGAATGGTGTGGACCCATATAGAGACCATGCAGTGCTAATTTAACACTGGCACATTTGCTGTGTACATAAAATATCAAAATGTTGTGAACACATGTGAATTACAATAACGCATAATGAATGAAAATATTTTGCAGAAAAAACGTAACTTGGATTTTGTCAATTTTCTTCATTCATCATTTTGTATTCATTTGGGTTTAGAAATTGAAAATAAATCAACTGTTGTCTGGAACTGAAATCATTGGCTGCCAGGAAAATGGGAGAGTTGTTTTGCTGCTCTAAATTGTAATGATGGGAAATAAAAATTCCATCCAATATTCAGTTATACTATTTAGTTGTATAATGTTCACCTGCTGTAAAAACTGGTATTTTTGTTTGAAAGGAGTTTTGAAAGAATTTTGTTTATAGCCCAACTGTTATGCACTTTTTAAAATGTGCTAGCTATTGCTCAGTGGAATTTTGACAACTTGTTAAGTCAAAATAGTCATGAACATTTCTTGTCATATCAATTCTAAATATGCATTTAGTGCATGTTTCATTTAGACAAATGTACAAAGAAGTCATTTATATGGTTTTACGTAATAAAATCTGAAAACAAATGATTGTATAAATTTTTTTAGTAAATGCAATTCATTGGTATCTTAAATATATTTAATGTAGTAAATGCAAGTATACAAAAAAGACTTCTTGAAATTATACTATAGGTTGTTACGGTGCAGTATTTTACTTTTCTATAAAGCAAATAACTGTTGTAAAAACTGCAAACTTTAAGCTGACTTTTCAAAAATTTCAGTTGCATTAATAAAAACTATTGATTTGAATGTAATCAGATTATTCAGTACACTGAACTTAAAGCAAATGGGTTAATTAAACTTGTTAACTTGATTTGAAAAAACAATTAATTTGTGTTACCAATTGAAGCAATTTTTTTAAGTTGGTCCAACAATTATTTTTTTCAGTGCAATACAAACAATCTATTTAAAGGCCTCCATTGTAAAATTGTGTAATTGACACTCGAGTATAATATTAACATGTAATATGAAAATAACATGTAGTATTTAAATGACCAAATAGTATTGGAGGAAAAGTTATTGAATAGTGTTGAAATAAAGTGATAAAATCGAGAAGGCTTAAAATGTTCCAAGAGCTCAAAATACTTTAACAAAACATGTTTCAATCACACTGTATCAACAGAAAATACCTAGGTTTATTGAATATGAATAACTTGTGGTAATTTAACTCAATTGTTCAAGTTGCTGCCAAAGCAAAACATCTGTGTGCAACCACTGTTCACTATTGAATTAAGTAAATCCAACATGTTCTTTTTTTCAGTGTATAAGGTTTGGTGATACAGGCTATTAGTGACTGGCAATTAAATAAAACAATGCATCACTGAAAAGTAATGCAAAAGTAATGTGATTAGTATAGTGTAACTAATTACTTTCCACAGGGAGTAATTAAGTAATACATTACTTTTTTTGACTGCTGACCCTGACACTGGTGATGAATGAGGTCAAGATTCAGATTTTTATTTGTCACATGCATGAATGTCCTGCTACACCATATGATTGATGATGCTGACATATGATTGGCTGATTAGATATTTTCTTCCACAAGCAGTTGAATAGGTGTACCTAATAAAGTGGCTAGTGAGTATATGTTACATATGTAGCTGCACCCCCACAAAAAAATAAGATGCATGATGCCCCTGCATGGAGGGAACCAGTGGAAACACAGGGAGGACATGCAAACAGCACACATGGGAACTTATACTCAGACTTACTTATGGATGAAGTCACGACAACCAGGAATATAATTCCAGTTATTCCTGCTACATAGTGAAGTATTTTCTCTGCTTTTTCACTGTCTTCAGAATATTTTGCCACAAAAACAACATAGGTGACTGAAACGAGAAGAAGGTATAAATAGGGTAACAAAAGGTAACCCATGGTGCTGGGAAGCAGGGGGGCATTAATGCACAGGCTTAATCAGGGGCCTCCACTAAAAAAGGACCAGCCCCCCCACTGACCTGGACAAATACAGCTTTAATGGGAACAGCAGTGGGCAGGATCACTGGGGGCCTGGAGCCTCTCCCAAGCAGCACAAGGCAGAGGTACAGCTTGGATGGGAGGCAATACACACACAGTCACATGCTATGGGCAACTTACAGACACCAATTAACCTGAGAGGGAGACTTTGGGCTGCTGGAGGAAACTGGAGTAACTGGTGGAAATACGACATGGGGAGCACATGCAGACTGTACACAGACACAGAGGAGGGGGACTCAAACCCACA